TGTGAATATATGGACGAAATTTCGGAGACCTTAATTCATCGGTGCCCTTGGTATGACATTTTTAAGGCGTTTTTAGGTTAGGTTTGTATGGGCGGTGTGCTTTAAAATAAAAAGATCACACCCGTTTTTTTCTTGATTTATGTCCTGAGAGATTACATACGAAAAATTATAGCCCTACGCCTACTCCTTCTAATTTTCTCCAAACAATGTATGAGGCTAACCACTGTGCGCCGTAATCTGTATGACTCTCACTACATGATTGCTGGTAGTGTTCTTAAAAAGGTAATATTCGACAGCCAGTTTTATTTTAATAGTCACAAATTTTATTATTTTGAAGTCGTAGTCTGCTTTAGCCTTCATTAGACGAAATACCTCCGAATTTTCTGATCCATGTACCTTTACAGGGCAGTTCTGGCTAAGAAAGTAAATAGTGTTTTGTAAGACAAATGAAAGACAGATGGCAAGATAGCTCGAAAGACTTTTGTTTTTCAAGCACAAGAGTCTTAGAAAAAAGCTCTCTTATTCACCACTCGTGGTGAAAAGTTATTTTGAGAGAAAGCACTTGTATGTCATTTAGCTCACGCCGCTCCATTGAGTGACCGGCCAGATCAATCCCACTCAACTGAGTCTGTCCATAGGGAAGGGGGTGTTAGTTGAATGAGGTTTTGAAGGCATGCGAAGACATGTCTCGAGTCGTGGGGTGTCTCTCCGCATGCCGAGCGATGGTTGAGCACATCTGCATCGAACCTGCTCAGGTCAGAATTTAGCCTGCTGCAGTAGCCAGATCGACGCTGGGCAATGGTGGTGCGAGTCTCCCGAGGCAGGCGAAGCTCTGTCTCATCCTTGTCAGGTGATTGTGACCCAAAACGCCATTCACAGGTCCAGAGTCGCTGTGAGTCGAGACCGACTCCCAGGCCATTTATGGCCTTTCGGTATGCTGTACAGATGTGTTTTTGTAAGTCTGTAGCTTTGTCCACTGCGTCCTGCTGGTTCCCGGCACCAGACGGGCGCTGCATAATTTAGAACTGTCCGGCCCATTGCCTTGTATGTTGGCAGCAACGTTTCCTTGTTTTTGTCCCAGAAGTTGTCGGTTAGTGACTTGAGCATCTTGTTGCGGCTCTGTATTCTATTGATAATTGCGTTGTATGCACGCCATCGACGTGAATTCCCAGCTGTAGTCTAAGCTCCTTCGTCCAGGTCGTAAAAAGGATTGCCGAGCATTTTGCTGGGGAGTGGATTAGGCTCCTTGCAGTGAAGAAGAGAGGTAGCGGCGATAGGACACCTCCTTGTCGGACACCTTGCACAATTCTTCAAAAAGCTACTGACGACTGCCGACCACCGTGCCACCGTTTGAATCCATGTACGAGATAGGAGGCCTCTATGTCCACGCTACTAGAAAACATAGAGTGTCGAACGTCTTAGATAAATCCAACACTACTGGTTCTTATCTCCCACAGGGGCGGTTATGGTTAGAGCCACGTTTTATTTGGGAGTTTGTGGCAGGTCAAGGTCTCAAACCCATTTTTAAAACACTCGTTGGGAACCCTCTGAAGTAGAAATGAATCACCTGCTGTACTTTAACGACAACAAGAAAGTTGCTGAATATACCGCAATGAAATACTCAGCAAAATCCCAATGAGTTCTCATTTGAAGCCAAACTTACCTAGAAAATTATTTCGCAGTTGTTTGTCCTATAGACCATAAATTCCCTGAATTATTGAATGGAACCAGAAATTATTTGTTTGTTAAATACACTTGCTCCGTTTTATTCGAATGATTTCATTTGATGCATCATTATTGAGTACTTATTTGCTTATATTTAGACTTGGATAATACATGTGTAATTGATAAAACTGTTGGGTTTACATAGTCTTATGCTAGATTAATAATTTACGAAATAAATTAAGTTTATAGAGATATTAGAATTATTGAGCTTGGTGTGTACAATTCTTTTTAAAATAATACGGCTTATACCAAAGTATAGTTATCGTAAATTTATTAGATACATGATGATGATTGAACTTCTTTATCTTAGTATTCATTTGTGAGTGTATGTATATACATATGCATACTTCATACATATATTTGTAATTAATAATTCTCGTTTCCACTTATTTAGTTATATACATTTAATGAGCAAAGTTATACGGTTCTTGGCTAAGAATTCTAATGGTGGGTTCACAAGGTATCATTATGACAATATGACTGGGTATGACACCTTCTGAATAATCCATAAGTGTACTATGGTTTTTTCTTATACCGAACTTGTTTGTCATGTTTAACACTTTATTGAAAATCGTATATTTATATAACAGTTTCATTAGGCGCATTCTTTTGCAACCGACCAACAAAAGAACACTCGCTAAAATGACGAAATATATGCAAAGCAACAACACAAACTCAGCTATTTATCCGAGTTTACCCAGCTCGATAAAAAAATGCGTGACCTGAAGGGCAGTGTTGTTAAGTGAAAAACTGTTAATGCGAAAGCGGTTAGGGATATTTTTGTTTCCTTATATATGTACATGATTTATATTTTAAATAAGTATATATGTACATATATTATGCAAAAACCTCGGGTAATGACTTATTTCTATTGGTTTTTGTATCTAAATCCCATTAAACGAATCGCATATTTCTTGCTTTGTCGCTCGTTCACAAAAAAAAATCACCTAATGATCCAATGTTTGGCTGCCGAATAATTTTCATTTAATTTCGCAGCGAATAAAACCTAGTTCCAACCTCGAGATGCCGCATAAAAAGCTGGTCAGCTGGTCTGCTGTTCGGAAAATTTACATTTTCACTGACGTAATGGGTAAAATGATAGTAACTGAACACATTTTCAACAGGGTCTATCTGGATTTGATAGAGTGAAATCTGAACTTGAATCGAATCCATTTGTTCTGCGTGACTTTCTTCCCTTTTTAAACACTTTTTTGTTTATCTTATGTCAAAATCTTCAACTGGGAATATGTATGTATGTATGCGTCTGAATAGCTTCGTTTGGATTGTCAAAAGTTTTGACATTTGACATTGTAGAGTTACAAACCTGAAAAGCCAGAACGACTTCAAAAGCAGCAACGCCTGAAAAGGCTCCTGTGGAGCTTTAACTTTACTCTTTAAAAATAATAGGCGGTTAAAAAAATTTGCTTAAAAATTCAGTAAGATTTCAAAAAAATTTTGTGTACATATGTATGTATGTATATTCATAAGTAAAAAGTAGAAATAAAAGAACACACATTATCAAAATAAAATAATAAAAATAATAAATTGGCTCTTACACAATATCGTAGTGTTTGGCCGACCTTCTCATCCGATTTGTAGCGTGCGCCTTGATTTTGTCGCACAAACGGGAGGAACCTTCAGTTTAACGCTGACTCCGAACGGCGATTGAGTTTTTTTGAGAAGCGGTTTTTCATGGCCGAATACACTCGGAGGTTTGTCATTGCCTGGCGAAAGGCAACCGCTATTAGAAAACAACTTTTTTTTTTATTTTTTGATGTTGGTCGGAAACTGCGCTCGAACCCAGGCCCTGAGGAATGGGCGCGCACTGGAAGTAATGTTGGGTGCGTACTTTCATAAAAAAAAGATTGTGCGCATCCATTATGTGGAAGAAAATGCGCAATACGTTCTTAAAAACTTTTATAGACGTTACCGACAATTTTGTGATCGGAAAATTTTATTACCAAGAAATGTTACCAGTTCTTGTCACCACGATTCTAGGTACGTCGGTAATGCAGTTAAAATATTCAGCAATTCAGCAATTGTGGAAATTCTGGCATTGCATATTTCACGGGGCAAAATTTTGTTACCAGCTTATGACATGGTAACAAAATTTATCGGTTGCAAGAGTACACAGAATGCGAAAAGGGTTTAAAAATTGACAGGAACTTCATTTACCGGTTGCAAAATTTTTATTACCAGCACAGAATAGACCTGTTATTATACTAAAATTTATTGGGCTAAAAAACTGCTATCGAACTGAAAAATTCTGGCATTTTCCAGAGTTCGAAATTAAAAGAATTGATTCTTGTTGTTTTTGTTGTTGAATGAAAAATATATTTATAAAAAATAAGAGAAATTTGTCTTATCGCTCAGACTAGACTCTCACTGTATGTAGAAAGCAAAAAAGTTACATTCTGGTTCATTCCTCCAACAAAGTTCTACATGCGAAACGAAATTTGCATCTTCTTTGGTCAAGTTTAAACCAAGCTCGCATAAATTAAATAAGAATATCACAAAGAAGAAAAAACTATTAATAAAAATTAAAGATGTAAATAAAAAACTGCATTTGCCTTAGTAAATTTCTTTTAGTCGCTGCGAAAACATTCTTTCGCCGTGCAAAAACGTTTAACTCTACAAAAACGGGTTAGTATAACCGCGGCATTAGGTTTCTCCAATTAAAACAACGTAACAAAATGCTGGTATAAAGTTAATTAGTGGTCCTAAGAATACGACAAAACTTCTTAATTAGTATAATATATGTATGTATACCGAAATCCCGAAATTTTGCAATAAAAAATAAAATAAACTTATTCAAACCATAAAAACTAAAAATGAAAAGAAATGTATTTAATTTAGTTCGATAAAGTATTGTAAGTATATTTTTTCGTAGTTTTCTTTATACAAATCTTATGATTATTTACATAAATTGTATGTTAAATTTAATTAGCAATAAAAAGCTTTTAACTTTAAACAGAACTTTTTTCTCTTTCATTTACAAGGAAGCGATATCGGTAAAACTTCTTAAATATTAGATTATTACTTTTTCCGCATAAGATTATATAGCGGCAATGTTTTTTGAAATTTTTGGTTTATTTTCTGGTTTTACAAGAAGTTATACGTAAATTATTTTTTTTATTTAGTATTTAGTTTGTATTCTTTTTTTGCGTTTTATTGTAGGTATTTACTTTTAATTTTTACTTACTTTACCATTTCCTGGCGTTTGATAAGTGCAAATAAAATGGTAATTTCATACTTCCTGCAAGAATTTAAAATTTCTTCTTAAATATGCTTATATTTTTTAGTTCTTTACATGCTTTTTATGCCGATTTTCTGCATTTGATAAGATTATATATAATGCTATGTTCACATTGCCTTTAAGAAATTTTGATTTGTCTTCTGAAACTGATTTTTTTTTTACTTTTTTCTATGCTTTTGTTGTTTACCTGAATTTCAAAATGAAAGGAAAACTGTAGATAATTCTTTATTCACATCGCGTTTAAATATTAATTTCTATGAACGAATTTTAAAGTTTTTTCATCATTATTTTATTTATTTTGGTTTTTCTTTTTTAAGTTTTTTTGTTTTGATTTGTAAACGCAATTGGTAGTGTTCGTCAATTGTACAAAATTAATTCGAATTTCTACATTAACAGCAAATTTCACGAAAACAATTTAAGTGAAAAATGATTTTAATATTTTGATTTTTATATGGAAATTGACAGAAAATTAAAAATCATTTTCCACTTAAATTGCTGGTGAAATCAGCAGTAAGAGTTCGTTAGTCTCACTTAACACAAACATACAATTTTCATATAAATTGTATACTTAGAACACTTTAAAATATTACTATGTATGTATGTATGTAAGTTTGTTTGTTTCGCTTAAATTTTAAACTATCGCAATACTGTTTAGTATAATCGTAAATATTACATACATTTTTATGATATCTATGCTTACACTCCCCTTTATGAGAATGGTTAGTGAGCAATGGTGCATTATGATTCGATTTTAATTAAAACTATATAATTAAAATTAATCTTCTGCTTAACTAAATATCAGATTGGTTGTTTTTGCTTCGTCCCTATGAAGCCGAGGGTCTTAAATTATTTTTACTGTAAAAAATACGCTATGCCTGCAGCCACTGAGCTTTATTTCGCGCTATTTGAATTTTCGTTTTTTTTTTTACACTTGTCAAATGCCTTCTGCCTTCCGCGCCTAGTATGTCGCTGTTGGCCATGCAATCTTAGCGTCTATACGCTTGTACGCCAACATACAATGCTTGCCTTTGGAAGAGAAACGCACGTCCTGCGGGCATTCAACATCATTCAGCAGCGTTTCTTCGCCATCGACGAGCTTGAAGAGCGCATAGTCTTGCGGGTTTGTGATGCGCGCCTTATGCGCAATAATGCGGCACACTTCGCGTGTCGTGGTGTGTGGTCGCACGGGCAATGTACGCGTCTGCAGCGAGCCATTGCACTCGTCGGGTATGATGACGCGGAGCACCGAAGAGCAGGCGGGCAACGAAGAGGAGCGCCACTACAAGAAAAAGAAAAAATAATGTTACGATTTTTAAGATATCAGAAACCTCCGCTCTCTCCCTTCCATCTCCTCATAACGCCAATACTTACATCGAGCGAGCCTGTTCCATTTTCGTTCTCCGAAGCCATGAAGCTCTTGAGTACGTGCACTGCACTGCAGAGCGCTGTCAAGTAGTAGCCCGCCTCACCGCTCAGCAATGTCGGCTGCAGTAGTCCCCACATGAATTCAGCCTCTATTTCAGCGCCTACAAACCCACATTTGGCCACCACATACACCAATACGGGCAGAAAGTCATCGGCGCCTAGCTGTTGGCCGCGCTGACAGCCAGTTGCTTCAAAAATAGTCGAGATGACGCAGAGGAAGAGCTCTAATTTGTCCAGCGGCAGTTCGGCCTCCTGCAAGCGCTGCAACAGCGCTGAAATTATTTGCAACGAAGTTGATGATGGCGGGGTCACTGTGGCGCGTATGCCAAAATCAGTCGCGCTGCGTCCGCAGGCATATTTAACATTCTGCGCCAGCAGTTGTATGTCTTCTGAGCGCTTATAGTAGTCCACGAACATGCTGTAGAGATGTTCGCGCAGCGGCAACACAACCAGTTGATGCATCACAGTCTCGAGTATGGCGTCCAAATTGAGGAATTCGTCTGCTTTGAGGCGTGAACGCGCCGCTTCCACTTCCTGATGGAATTTACCCTCACCATGCTTCACCAGATAGTTTTTCATGCCGTTCATGAATTGACGCATGTTGCGCATAACAACCTGTGGCGCTGCCTCGCGTGACTCCTTCGTGCAGGAGATGAAATTCTCTACGTTGCGCGCAAAAGTTGAGCTCTGATCTTGAGCGAGTTGGAGTGTGCAGGCGCGCACTAGATCACCTGGTCCGCCAGTGTGCGCATTCAGCTTGTTGCGAGGATGGCCTGTGGATGAGAGAGAGAGAAAGAGTTGAAAGTTGTTGATTGGCTGTGTGGAAAATAGAACTAAGGATTTTTGCAGGGCAAGAGAGCTTTTCAAGGGCAATTATCAAGCATTGTTTTGTACTTAAACCATATTTATAGCTCGTCGCACATGTGTTTTTTAATACTAAAAATGAAAAAAAACGGAATTAAAGAAACAATTGCGTCTGTTTAGTAAACATGTGGCTTTTGTGATAAACAGCTTTACTTTGTAAATTTAAGAGGAATTAAGCATTGAATCATATTAATATAATTAAAACATTTTGCCGTCTACATATCTATCGATATCGTTACAGATATATTCACCCTCATTGAGTCGCGTCGAATGCAAGTCGTTTTTTTAGAGTCGAATCGTATTGAAAATTTCACATAATTGTCTAAAATTTCCACTCGACTAGTGTATTAAAACGGAAAAACTTGGCAGCACTGTATAGTTTTCGAAGATTTTCGTCGTTTACTTATTTCAGCACGACATTAGACAATGCCAATGTTGCCGAGTCGTACAATTTATCCCAATTTACGACTGATTTATTTCTACCAATTTTATTTACATTTATCTTTCCTATACGCACACTTTTACTTTGTTTATCGCAGTTTAGCTACCGAAACCGCAAAGTTTCTTTCCCAAAAGTATTCCTACACACATTGGTTCTTCTCTCCTTTCAACTTACCACACATTAAATGCCACAACCACAGCAATACGCGTTTAAGCGTTTCCAAACATCCGCGACGCTTCGCCCTTACAACGTAGCGTTCATCGACCGCTTGACACATTTTCCGATAGCGTCGATATAGGCGCCTATTTTGCGCCATCGTAGAACCGAATCCCTTCATTTCCGCTATATGATTTGTATTCAGCAAAATGTTTCCATAATCGTCGAGACGAAAAAACTGCTTAATATCGTAATGATCACAGCTGCTCCAGCTTGAGTGTGGACAACGATCATCCGTGCGTGCAATGAGATCACAATCAGAGGAACGTTGTGAACTATCCCGATCGGGACACATACCTATGGCGCCCATAATGGAGCTTGCCAAGGCTTCAGTCTTGAGTTGGTTGCGATTAATAGCACAGTCTTTGATTACTTGATTGTTGCTGGCGCTTACCATGGCCTTCGTCGTCGAAGTGTCGTCGAGTGAGCCTGTGAGCGCCAATTGCAGCGAAGATATACTCGAAGCGATTGTGCTTTGCGAGTTCATTTTGGAGCTATCACCCTCCATTGCTCTTCGCTTACATTTGATGTGTTGAGGTGCATCCGCTGCGCGCTCCTCATCCTCTGGCAGTAGCAAACCCATTTGGATTTTTTCGTTGAAAAAAATATCACAGAAGCGACGTTTTAATTTTTTCTTCGTTGTAGTTTCAGCGGGGTCCTTATTCTCATTGCCCATAACCTTGTTGGGCTCAATGGGCCCTGCTATCACAGTTTGCTCATCAACCGCATTGTTTTGTGTCTTATGCAACACTAATTCATCTTCAAAATCGGCTGAAAAGTAGTTTTCCATATTCGCAGGATTCGGTATGATTTCCCAATCGGACATCAGCTGCAGGAACTGTGCTTCCTCCTTATAGTTGCGCACGTGATCGGGATCTTGAAAGAATACTTCCGGATCCACAATTTCGATCTCTTTACCATCCAGCGAGCCCCAGAAATTACCGGATTCTCTTTCTGCCGTCTTCTTGATACGCTTATGTCGCTGTTCACATTGCTTTCTACTATGCGGGTTCGCGAGACTTTCGGCAGACAACTTTTTGAACCAATTCATGATTTATGCTATACCGATTTTTTCCAGCTAAAACGAATTGTCGAAAACGAAAGTTTCTCATCGACACACACGAAGGCACGGCACAAATGCGTAATTTGAATGAAGCGTCGGGAATGTGAACTGTTTTGAACTTGTAACTATTAAAATTTATTATTTAAGTGTTCAAGAACAGCCGCGAAACTGCACTTTTTTGTTTTCTTTGTCACCCGCGCTTATGTGTACGCGCAATGCGAAACGTGATCAATCAAAATTAACGAACCGTCTTTCGACGTCACACCGTTATTATAATTTCTTGCTGCTCACACGACGAACTCGAAATTATAACTGTGGCATGCCACATTAAAAGGCAGCGATTTTATAATTCAAATGTTCGCATAGCAAGGCGCTGAGTTCATTAGGAGATAGCGCTCTGCTAAACTCACAACTCTCTGCATTATCACCAAAGCGGCTTGTGCGAGTTCTGCTTTGGGAAGTAATAGAGAGAAAGTGCGTACACAAATTTAAGAATCTTAAAGAGAGCGATACTGTATTGCTTGGCTGCGGATTTCTTATCTACATACACAATCCTCATTTTAGGCCGTTTGCCGCACTTCCATCACAGCACAGCTGTCAGCTGCTACCAGGTAGATAGTTCCGTTCATGACACATTTCCCCACAGTAGCGACGCGCGTATGTATGATGAGAAAAAATGTAGCGGTTTTTATAGCTGATGCGAGGAAAATCCGTAACGAGTATTTGAGGAGGAAACAGTACAGTTGCAAGGGTTAAAATGTCACTTGAACAGGCTTAAATTTTATACAAGGCTCCTTTAGGCGTTTTAAAATTTGTTTGTTGAGCTCTAAGCCTTTTTTAATTTCCTAACCTAAAAGAGAAAGCTAACAACAATTCGCATATACCAGGCTAGACTCAGTTTAAGGTGTTTTGTTTTTTTAGATAATGTATTATTTTAATTGCTGACTTACATATTGTAAGTATATCACTGTCGATATCGGTCTTTTGTCGGCACATGCAATTGAAGCTGAAATCTAAAGCAGCTTGCGTCTCTTAGGGGTGTACTTAAACGCGTTGAGTTTTTCTTTTTTATTTCAATTGGGATATTTTCTTCAACTCCGAGATCTCGAAATTTTCCTTAATCTGTTTTCACATTCTCTCTTCTCGTCGGTACTGGTGCAGTGACGACCATTAGAGGGAGCTTAAGAGGCTTCGCCCGCGGGATATATTTTGGCCGTGACTGTGCATGTGGAAAAATCACTTTTATAGCAGAGCTTATGGACTAGCAAAACCAAAGTCACGAAAAGCCACTGGAATTATCCAAAGTTGGCCATAAGACTGCGACCGCTTAGACAAACATAGACTTAACTACCGCTGTGTACACTTTAAAGCGCAGTTACACCTTGCCTAGAACTGTTTGCAAGGTTACGATTTTAGTCCAAATTTCTGTCAAGAAAGAAGATAAGATAAGTATTTTACATCCGCCGCGAGAAATATGTATCATATTTCGCATGGACCGCACCTCTTTCTGCTCGGCGTATTGAATATTTGGTCCGCTTTCCCTATAAAAGTTGGGCACCCTGAAATTGTGCATATGGAAACTGTGCATACGAAATAATGCATATGAAAAAAACCGAAATAATGCATATATGCACAGTTTCGGTTGAAAACCGCAATAATGCATATTAGAAAAACCGAAATTATGCATATGCACTCTTTCGTTTGAAAACCGAAATAATGCATATGAAAAAAACCGAAATAATGCATATATGCACAGTTTCGGTTGAAAACCGCAATAATGCATATTAGAAAAACCGAAATTATGCATATGCACTCTTTCGTTTGAAAACCGAAATAATGCATATGAAAAAAACCGAAATAATGCATATATGCACAGTTTCGGTTGAAAACCGCAATAATGCATATTAGAAAAACCGAAATTATGCATATGCACTCTTTCGTTTGAAAACCGAAATAATGCATATGAAAAAAACCGAAATAATGCATATATGCACAGTTTCGGTTGAAAACCGCAATAATGCATATTAGAAAAACCGAAATTATGCATATGCACTCTTTCGTTTGAAAACCGAAATAATGCATATGAAAAAAACCGAAATAATGCATATATGCACAGTTTCGGTTGAAAACCGAAATAATGCATATGAAAAACCCGAAGTAATGCATACATGCACAGTTTCGGTTTAAAACCGAAATAATGCATATGGTAAAAACCGAAATAAAGCATACATGCACAGTTTCGGTTGAAACCGAAATAATGTCTAAATGCACAGTTTCCATATGCGCAATTTCGGTTGTTATGAAGGCATAAGTCTGCCTAGAACGTGCTGATGGTACGATACAACACTATCTAAAAAGTTCATACTTGCGTCGAACTTCTTTTAACCAAAAACTACAGCATCAAAATGGTGAAAGCACTAGGCTCTTCAGATTTGACAGCCAGTATGTTAATCTTTCTTGATTCCGAAGCATGAAATCTAGATTTGAGTACCAGTCTTCAAACGAGCTAGAGCAAAGAAGGAAATGTTGTTCCAAATTATTAGATGGAATATTGTAAATAAGAACATCCCTACTATAGGAGTCATTGAAAGCGTTTGCGAAATCATTACTATTTTATTGACTTCTGTTGGCGGCAAAACATATAAAGATAATATATGAAATTAATTGTTAAATATGTACATATTTATGTGTTCATTAGGCATATGGAGTTTTTTAAATTAAACATTCCTAGGAGACGAGGATGAGGATTGATGAAAAACAAACAAAATTTGGTACAAAGAGTTCCCACAGGGAACATCGAGAAAGAAAAAAATTTGTAGTGGAGAAAATATACGTACATATGAACTATATATGAAAAATTCCATGAACTCTTTCTAAGATTCAATTTTTTTTTATTCAGTTGAAATTGTGACAACACGTTACCTTTGTAGGTTTTTCAGCATGCGCCTAATGGCTAGATGAAAAAATTTCAAAATTACAAACAAAAAAATGCATACACATGGAAAGTTCCATGTCAACCGAATAATCATGCGATCCAAAATTGAATTATTAATTTTCTTTTTGATTCGGTTGAAATTTTGACAAAGCGTTATTTTCGTAATTTTTATCATGTGCCTAATGTATCTACATGTATATGCACTATGGTGGTCCTTAAAAATATCAACATTATGTGTCACCCTTTTATTCTA